CAACAACTTATCTGTACACTATAGACAAGGTATTCACTAACCTTCTATAAACATAAGAAGCCACCAATGGCACACGGGCAATCAAACTAAGAGCATCTTCATATGTTGGCTCCCAGTACCTGAAAGAAATATAATAAATAAAAGGATGCATGATCAGTAGAAAATTTAGTTATGGCATCATAATATAACTTCTTAGAAGGCCTTACTTTGTCTTTGAAATTCCTTTCTCATATGCTTTCTGAAATTCACTTTGAACCTGAAAGATTAAAGTTATTCAATGTAGATACATGCCTATGATTTTAATAATACAAACTTGAAATCAGTTACGCACTCTTTATGCCTACAGGTGCCACCATAGATTTAAAGCACTACATTTACACCCTGAAGATAAAGCTAGGATAAAGAAGTCTATCTCCTATAGAGTCTGTAACGTATAGGAGAAAGAGAATAATGGAAGGAAAGGAAGAAGATGATAGAACCATAAAAGCAAATATAGACATTTACCAGAGAAACTAAAAAAGATATACATAAAGATTATCCAGTTAATTCTCAGATGCTATATTGTTATTAGAAAGTGGTGTTTTCTGATTACCAAGAGATGAAAAAAGAGGACATCTAACCTAAAATGAAATTTGTGATTTAAAGAATACATGTAGGGATTTTCAAATATAAAATAGTTCAAACATAGGTAATGAGTTTTAAAATACTAAAATTGAATGCATTAAACCAACATGAGCTTGTGAACTTTTGAAGAACAACAGCTATTGTCAAAGGTCATCTTGTTCATCTCACCAAAGAAGATGATTAACAAGTTATCAAAAACAATAGGACTAAGGAATTGCAATTCCTCCAAGTTTATCTTATGTATGAAACTAAAGAACACATAACATCAACTTTTTTAACCTGGAGTGCCATAACACCAGTTGCAAATTGAGTCATTGGATGAGCTGAGACAGGTAGAGCATCAATGGCCTTGAACACGTAATCTATAACCAAAAAGAGAAATCCAAGAAAAGTAAGAATTGCACTGTTTGAGCCAAGAGAGAGGTAGGAATGGTTTAATGTTTACATCTGCAAAGAGTAGTGCAGAAGCTACAAACCTGGAACAACAGCACGGTCACGCAATTCCTGAGATAAAGCATCCACCTGAACTTTGCTTGGCACCTAAGGTAAAGGAGAAAAGGGGTACATCATCAACTGCTATAGGCCAAAACAGAATACCCTTTCATTACTAGAACCTCATGCACAATTGCACACCTTTCCAGTCAAAAGAAGCCATAAAAGACCCTCGGGCAAAGGTTCTCCATCAGGCTTTGCAGCCGGTAAAAGCTTTTGACACTCAGGAATTGACAAACCTCTAAAGCGAATTCCCTAAAAAAGGAAAATCGCCTTTTAGAACTATCAGATAAATGTTACTTTATGCTCCAGTAATTATTGCAACTATGTACAAAAATCTGCCCAAAACCCTGTTTCTGATGGTAAGTGAATGAACCATACCTCATCTGGGTCAAGTAACGAGGTTTCCCAAAGCAGCCCTGTCATTCCTCTCATTCCACCAATGACCTTTCAAACATGGTGCAGAAATCAGTTAATGAGAAACCCAAACATAATTACAAGTCACCCCTTCCAATGTCCGTCGAGCTATTTTAGTAGCTTGATGGTTATGAAGGGGTTTTTTAATGAGATCTCCAATTTTTATCAAAAAAAAAAAGTCACCCAAAAATTTCCAACTTTGAATCGAGAAACAAAACACAGACGAAATTTTCACTACTGCAACACTAGAAACATATATGATGTACCATATCAACAGTGATAGTCCCAAGTTGCACTTTTCCATGTTCTGCCCTAAGTTTCTTCAGGCGTTCCTGGAAAAATCAAGAAAGCATTTAGTGAAGGAAAATTTGAAACTGGCTATGATATATGATCATCGGAGGAATCACACAGATGACAGAATCCGTCAGCTGGAGAAAATTGGGATAAAGGATTGAAAGAAAACATTGAGAATCTTCAACAGCTTATCAATGGAGTAGCATGGATTAAAAAAAGGCAGTGCTGACTCAAATAGTAACTATATCTGCAGCATCTTAAAAGGACAAATGGAACTCCATTGAGATAAGCAAAACAGACCTGTTGTTCTGGAATCAATTCCTTTAACTGCGAATGAAGATCCTGCAATGTCTCCAAAGAAGTTAATTAACGAAAATAAGCAATGATGAATACAAGCAAAAGCTAAAAAGACCAAATGGGAAAAACATGAAGTAATTCAACCATTTTGAAGTCGAAATGTACAATTAAATAGTAAGGATAAGATTGTCACTGTTGGGCAAGGATTTAAATAGCAGCCACAACGTGCCACTGTGGCCACTGGCCACTATTACACGTTCTTGCCTCCTCTCATCACCAATAATTAAAAAAGTAGCAAGAGAATAGAAAAATAACTCACAATATCGGAAGAGGTTTGAGTTTGAAGCCATCTGACAGAGTTGCTGAGACTGGAATGCTGTTTCTGCAGCATAAAGAAATCCAATATATAAGAACTTAAGCACACTGCTTACTGTGAGAGAAAAATTACATGGCAAATCTCACAGTAGCATGAACTTACCACACGGGACGTTAGCCTAGATAGCGCTGATACACCCTTCAAAAACACCATCGCGGACTGCAAAAGAAAACAAATCAAAAATTAGAATAGAAAACTCCAGACCATACTCTTTCTTCTTCAGCTGTAGGATCTTCATTAGATTAGAGTACTACAAATTTTCGATTATTTGACAAACATATAAGAATCAATAATAACTAAACAAAACAATATATACAAAATAAAATGAATATACACTATCAAAAGACTTGATCTGCAAAATAAAAGAAGGAAACTGCCGGTAACTAATGCTACCCTCTCCAAAGATTTATTAATGGCAATGAGATCCCAAAACAACTCGGCGGCAGAAGAAACAGAGATGATACAGAATTAAATTATAATTAGACGACTTACAAAGAGTAAACAGAAAAAAAAATCAAACATAACGGCGAAATTAAATGATCCTGGATTAAGTTGCATAAGAAAATAAGCATACCGGTCTGAGAAGTACTGCGGAGGATGGAAAGTGGTGCACGCAGGTTTTGGAGTTCTATTTTCGCTTTACGTTGTGTACTGCAATTATGTGAATTTATTCGGGGTTTTATCAAATTCCGTTAGTACCCTTCTTTGTACTTCATCTTTAAAATACCTGCCCTGGATGCCAACTAGTCAATACTCAACGGCCATTTTCTCTTCTCTAGAATATTATTCTGATTGCCATCTTAAAAGTATATATATATATATATATATAAAGAATATTATTCTGATTGTACTTTTTTTAAATCAAATTTTATAATTATTTCATTAGTCGAATTTATATAGATTATGTGAATGTTTTTATTAAAAGGGTAAAATAATTTTAAGATAATATCCTGTGTGTAAGAGATCATAGATTACAAATTATTGTTAATTAAAGTATAGATATTATTACAATTTTAATGGAGTTTGATTGTGATATTAAACTTAACTATGTTTGATTTGTATTAACTTTTTTTCTTCAAATATAATCATTAAGCACGGATCAAGTAACCTCCGTGGTAAATGAATTGTTATTATTCCTTGAGGACTCAAATTTGAGCATCATAAATGTATCTACGAACATAAATAGCATAATGAAATTCAATATGAAGTTAAAAACAAAAAATATCAATATGATAATAAATTATTTTTATCTAGGCCTCGTCAAATGTCAAGATTGTTACGTTTTTTGTTAAATAAAATAAGGAAAAGAGAAAGACAACTAAAAACACGACTATCACTAATGATTTTCTTTTTGATTTATACTAACTTAAATGATAGAATTATAAAATTAATCAAAATCTAAGTTATTTATTTTTTATCACGTCATCGTTTACCTTCAACAAGTAATAAAAAAGTTCTTGATCGTTATAGACACTATATTTCGTCCTAAATATGTGATTATATAATATATATATATATATATATATATTATTTACACATTTTTATTTTTCTTGTTACAGACCTAATACAAATGGCCCAACAATGCTCCATTTCACACAGGCAGCCCAAGAACACTCCAAGCGTCGTTTCTCCAAACCTGAGTCCACAATCGATCTTCACGACGCCATCAACGTGGTTCCACGAGACTCCTCCACAACCAACGAAACAAGAATTAGAGTTCGATTAGGACTCTATTTAGCCTAAAATAGTAAATTATTTTACTATAAATATTACATGTAACACCATTGGCAAGGGGGGAGAAGCAAAATACACGCGGAAAATACAGAAAGGGGAAGATTCTTACCGGGTGGTGGAGTACAAAGGTCACCGGTTTCTGAGGAGTTTCGAAGGAAAAAGAAAAAGCTTTGGTTCTGGGGTGGATTCATCACTCCTCTTTTGGATCTGTTGAATTTACTTTGCTTTGCCGACTCAAGATTTAGCCAACAGTGGACCTCTTCTCCAACTTTGTATGCTAAGACAATGTGTATACCATCTCTTCACGTTTCTTTGCTTTGAATATGTTGAAGATCCCTTTAATATTTATTTTATTATAATAAATGTAGCTGAAAAAAAAGAAAAGTCTGCCCTACATGCTACAATCATTGCTTTTTTCAATTGCCTACTCTATTTGCTCTCTCATCTGTGTATGGATATTAAATATTTCGTAAAATAAACCTTTAAAATTATGAGAAAATAATCTGAGTGATCAAAAATGTCTTATAATATATGATTTTAATTAATTTTTTTTTGGATTTGTCAAAATGACCAACTAAATCGCAATGCGATCGATAATTCGCAACGCGATCTCGCGTATCGCAAATCAGTTTTCAGATTTACAACGCGAACTTCGACTATCGCAATGCGAACTTACTATCGCAATGCGAACTTAGACTATCGCAATGCAATTTACATATTCGCATTGCGATAGTCGAAGTTCGCGTTTGCGATTTATTCCAAATTCGTTGCGATAGTCTAAGTTCGCGTTGCGATTTATTCCAAATTCGTTGCGATAGTCCAAAATCGTAACGACTGGTGGTATTGTATTTGATTCTTAAGAATTTTCTCTAAAAATATAGTATTCGCGCGGACGTGTCGAAGACACGTATTACCACGACCACGACCCGAGACGAGACGAGACGAGACGAGACGGACGGCGACGCGCGAGAGTCCCCCTTGTTCTCTATCACTCAACAAGGAAGTGGAAAAACCAAACCTTAAATACCATTCCCAATAGTATTTCCAATACTATGTGGGATTGAGCATTACCAACACTTGTTTCTAATACAATGTGATTATTCAGGAAACAATTAACAATCATGCACCTTAAAACAACTGAATCAGCAACCAATTGCATTAGTATTATACGATTAAATATATCATAATTAAAAGTCAATCTACAATCAATCGCGATTATTACAATTTTAAGCAAAACATTCAAAAATAATATCACTATTTAAGGCTCAATCCCACAGTATTGGGAACAAATATTGGTAATGCTCAATCTCACATAGTATTGGAAACACTATTAGGAATGGTATTTAAGGCTTGACTTTCCCACTTCCTTGTTGAGTGATAGAGAACAAGGGGGACTCTCGCGCGCCGCCGCCGCCGCCGCCTCGGGTCGGGTCGTGGTCGTGGTCTTGGTCGTGGTCGTGGTCGTTAAATAATTGTGTAGGGAATTGGTCATTTGCTATTTTTGTAACGGGTAAAGTTAATCATTTTGAAACAATTTTATTAAATTTAAAATTTTAAAATATATATTTAAATTTAATTTTTATTATAAAATATCTCGATATTTAAACTAGGTTGATTACGAGAATAACATCTCCTCCTATATGTATGCGATTGTGTGACACTCAAATATTTAAAGTATGCGACAAAGTTTTCATAAAATAAAAAAAGATTCACAAATTAAATTTTTAGCCAATCTCGAATTCACTTCATTATTTATATATTATAAGATATGGAAATATTTATTTTATATTAATATTTATATATTTTTATAATTAAATTTAATATTCTCATTATATTTTAAGAAATTATTTTATAATTTGATCCTTAGTCAATTTTAAAGTAGAGTTGGTGTGGCTAGTGGAATGAAATGATAATACTTCAATTAAGAACATTATATAGTATAAATATTAAATTCCATACCATCAAGTTAAATTCATATTCTATTAACTATTTAATATTGATCAGACTTTTCAATTGATTTGCTTGATCAAACCAATCGTCTTTAGCCTCATTATAATTTGGTCCACCCACGCAATGTCGACCGATCGAGTGTTATTTTATTTGTTATAAGTTTTAAAATTTTTCATGTAAAGCGGTTATTTTTTAAAAAAAGTTTAATGTAAAATAAGTGTTTAAATTATATCTAAAAAAATTTTCGTTAAAAATAGGTGTTTAACGTTTTTTCCGTTACAATTCGAAATGTTTACGTCGTAATAGTCGTTAAAAATAATCGTTAGGTAATATGTTTCACATTATTTTTATTGTTTTTTTGAAAATATTTTCTTTAAAAAACTTACACATCGTGAAACCTTGGTCTCCCTTTTTCAAGAGCACTATGGTATTTGGAGATTTTGTATAATCTGCTTCTATTTGCTTCATCGTGGTTAAGGTTGTATTTTAGGATTAATTCTTTAACAATGCTTTCTTGCTGTAGGATAAAGATGAAGTGCAGCATCATATCTATCCTGCTTTTTATCGGATTATTTTATGGCCTCTTGTTACTTTTATTGACGTGGGAGAGAGGTGGAAGACGGATTATTATTTTTAAATATTTGTATTTTTTTAAAATATAAATGTGACATGTGTTAATTAATAATTTTTTAACGGTGATTATGACATAGACACTTAAAAATATAATAGAAAAAAATATTGATATTTAAACGGAATTTTTTTAGATACTTAAAATTAATTTAAGATATAATTTAAACATTTGTTTTTGTATTAAACTTTTTGGAATGATTTCGATAATTTCCGACCTAAATGTTTTTTTTGGTGATTTTTATAAAAGAAAACACGTTTTATATATAAAAAATAGAATAAATAAAAATTAAAGTCAACCATCTATATTATGCAACATAAAAATCTTATGGCTACGTCAAGAGGCAATGTTTTTTATGTTAATTTGGTAGGGATACAACTAATCTCTGTCATAAGCTCTTTTTCGTTTTCCCTTTAAAGTAGATAATTGTAAATTTTATTCCTTTCAACTTTTCTTATATTTTTAATTAATTTATTAAAATTTTGAAATAAAAGAATTATTTATATATAAACAAATATTCGATGCAATGACAAGATACATTATATTCTCGAAAAAAAATCAAATTTAAATTTTGAAGTGAATATTGTTAAGAGCGATAATTATGATTTATGAACCTGTATCAATCAATAAGAGTGACATTGGCACTGTCTCATGGTGATGTGTCTTAAGTTTGGTTCATCCTTTTTCCCCCTTGAACTTCATGAAGATTTTTAAGACGTAAACGGTAAACCCACCACTGTTTGGCGTTGCCGACGTATTTCGTACGTCACATGATCATTGACCATCGACAGTGCCATTGTCTTTGACAATTCTGCAGGAAGAAGACGAACGATGAATCCAACGCTTATGGGAACGGCCGAATATTTTAAAAGCTCAGGCTTAAGAGTTTGAGATATTAGCGGTTGGTTTGATTCTCTTCCTCTAAGTATTTATCATTTATAAAAGTTAAAGTATTGCCACTTTCTCTATGCTGCTTTATTGGTTTGAATGTTTCTTCGAAGACGACATTTAGTTTACAGGAGAAGATTGTTTGTTGCATCTCTTTTCATAGCGTTCGGCCTTTGGTTGCAGCTATTTTAATATACCAGCAAACCACTTGGCGGGCTCCAGCTACAAACCCATGCTATGCTTGTAAGCCTTTTTCTTGGTCTCATCCATCAAATTCCAGCTTTAGTAACATTGACTTTCACATCTTCTACCTCGGTTGAAGGAAACAACGAGGTGACATGAAAAGCCAAGATTTTTTATTCTAATCATATTGGGGCAATTTGCCACTTTTAAATCCATTCAAAGCCTCGCATTTCTTACCGTTTCTTGCTTTTGATATAGATTGTGTTCTCATTTGCATTCGAGGAAGTTGCTTCCTGAATTGAAACTCGTTAATGTTAAATGAATGTTGTTCTATGTTACGCAAATTTAGAAACAGAAACCAAATAGTTTCCAGGTCTTGGACTCTTTGAACTCTGAAGCTTTTGGTTTCTCTCACAAAAATGGGTTCAGCGGTTTGGTTATTTTTGCTTGTTGTTTCTGTTCATATCTATATCATAGCAGCTGCAACTAACCCTGATGATGGTAAGTTTGCCTCTAGTCATTGCTTATTTTGTTTTCTTTTAGTATAGTTTCTGTTGGTTCTTTAGGTTTGCGTTGAAGAATATGTTATTGATTATTTGTATATGCTATCCAAGGGTCTTAACTCTTAACTTATTTAAATGATGAATGATTTGGGATTGCTTTCATTCCATGCAAATTTATGTTCAATGATTTGGAATTGCTACCTCAGAATTTAGCTCTGGTTCTGATCAAGAGAAACCGAAACTGTTTGTGTGCAGCAAGTGCTCTAAGATCTCTCATGGGTGAGTGGAAAAATTTACCATCTAATTGGGGGAGTGGGGATCCTTGTGATGATCAATGGGTTGGAATTGAGTGCAGTGACACACGTGTGATCTCATTGTAAGTTGCTGGTGCTTCTTCCTTTTAATACTTTGTTTGGTTTGGTTGTTTCAGCTTTGGGATCTTCCTGACATTTTTCTTTCTGTTTCAGGAAACTGCCAAACATGAAATTGGAGGGACGGCTGACAGGAGATGTTTTCAGCCTATCTGAATTACAAGAATTGTAGGTCCTTTTGCCTATTATCTGCTTCCATTGCTCATGGATGTCATTGTGCAATTGGATTTTCTGAACAATCCTTCTAAACATTAATTTTTTTTCTTTCTTCTTCCTTTGCTCTTTGGATTTTCTAGAGGCACTTGTGCTCATGGTTATGGTTAGTTTAACATATTTGATTTGGCTTCATTTTTCAGGGATCTATCTTACAATGAAGGTATCACGGGATCTCTTCCCTCGGCGATTGGAAATTTAAAGAAGCTAATAAAGTTGTAAGGGGTTCTATTTCCTGCCAAAGCATCAACTGGAAGCAAATTTCTTTCTGCTATTTTCTTAAAAGATCTTTTATATATATATATCTCAATGGCAGGGTCTTGGTTGGTTGTCGATTCTTCGGTCCAATTCCTGATACGATAGGATCTTTGCCACAGCTGAGGGACTTGTAAGAATTTGACCTCTAATTTTTATACCTCTCAAGTGACAAACAATTCTATTTGGATTCTTTCTGTGTACTTTCTATTAGGTGAAGGACATTACCTTGGTAAAACTTCTATTTGAGGCTCCCTGATAGTAGGCTGTGTGATGTTTTGGCTTCTCTACAACTAGTTATTCTTTTATATCTTTTAATCAGAGTGCTTTCATGCTGGCCTGCATTACCTACAGATCTCTAAATTCTAATGGCTTCACTGGGTCTATTCCACGGTCCATTGGTAACCTTTCAAACCTTTATTGGTTAGATCTAGCTGACAATCAGCTTGATGGAGAAATTCCAGTTTCAGATGGACCGACTACACCAGGGCTTGACTGGTTGATTAATACCAAGCACTTGTATGTCAAACTTTCTTTGTAGTTTGTCTTTTTGGTTGCCATGATTCTATTTTATTTACACGGTAACAATGTTCTACGTTATTGACAGCCATTTTGGGAAGAATCAACTCTCTGGTCCAATTCCATCTAAACTTTTCAGTTCAGAAATGACTCTGATACATTTGTATGTTCCATTCTGTTTTCTATCAATAATTTCTGCAACTTATTACTTGATTTTACCTGGAAAGAGCTTTGCAACTAGAAAAGAAGGCACATTTTCACAACAAAATTTTCCCATAAACAACAATTTCCCTCTACATGCAGGAATGAGTTATTTTGTTTTTCTCCTTCTGCATGCATGGAGTTCTGTATATTTGAAACAATTATTTTTCCATCTCTTTCTCAGGCTATTTGAAAGCAACAGGTTCTCTGGAGCTCTTCCTTCCACCCTTGGGCTCGTGAATACTCTGGAGGTGATGTGAGTACTTAGACCAAGTACTCGACCGGATTAATGTTGAGATTTTTTTAATGTTGACGATGACTAATACATTTATTGTGTTGCTACAGACGCTTTGACAACAATTCACTGAATGGAGAACTTCCATCGAATCTCAACAATCTTACAAGCGTTCACGATCTGTAAGCAATGAGCATAAAAGGCTGATAGTCTTCCGTACGTGTTTTTCTAGGATGGAAGGGAACTATTATCCTCTCTTAGTTAAGAACATTTGGTACTGATTTTCAGGTTTTTGTCCAACAATGAGCTGACTGGCCCTCTTCCTAACCTTACTGGCATGAGCAGTTTGAACACCTTGTAAGTCACAAATGCTTTAGAGTTTAGTGTGTCTTTGGCCTTCTCAAACTGCACTCTGACGTCTTTTTTGTTTAATAACATTACACCTTTGTATTACTATCACTAATCTTTTTTCTATCGCATAATGTGCAGATACTTCAGTAATAATAGTTTTAATTCAACAGACGTTCCTTCATGGTTTCCGACTCTGTCGTCCTTAACAACATTGTATTTCCTCTCTCACTGCCTCTTTTTCTTTCTCTACTTAAAGATGGTGCTAGTTCGGGAACTGTAACATCATAACCTTCTTTCTCACAAGTATTTTGCTGTAGTTGAGAGAGTAATCAATTCATTTGTGTGGCAGAGTGATGGAAGATACTCAACTTACAGGTCAAATTCCTGCCTCATTCTTGAATCTTCCACAGTTGGAAACTGTGTAAGTATACTTGACCCTACACATTATAATGGAAATGAGGGCCCTAGACAAAAAACAGTCACATTTGGGAAATGATTGGTTGGATTTTTGCCCCCTTTTGCTGTTGTATCGTTGACAGGATACTAAAACACAATGACCTTAATGGTACCTTGGATATTGGCCCGGGAGTTAGCAACCAGCTGGAGACCATAGATTTGCAGGGTAATTTCATAACAGATTTTAATGACACTGGTGGACCATACACATTCAAGCTGATGTAAGCCGGAATTCTTTAGTCTATCCTTTATTTGCTGAATTACTAGGCTTGTATTCTCATACGTCTTGGTCCTCTTGGAAGATGGATTTTCTACAGATAGATATAGATATAGTTGATGTTAAAGATTATTAGTGTACCATTTAACATCACTGAAGTTCTTTCTAAAACTTTCTGTAGACTTGTAGATAATCCAGTGTGCCCGACAAGAGCAGCAAACACTTACTGTACATTACCGCCACCAGATTCCGTGCCTTTGTATTCAACCGTTCCTATGAACTGTCAGCCTTATTCATGCAGTTCTGGTCAAATTTCCAGCCCCATGTGCAGATGTGCCTATCCATATTCAGGGACACTACAATTCAGAGGCCTTTTCTTCTCCGACTTGCGAAACCGAACTCCGTTCGAAAGTTTTGAGCAGAACTTGACACAGTTTTTCAAGATGCCTGAATTTCCTGTGGATTCTGTTTCACTAAAAAATCCACGGATGGACCCATATCAGTATCTTCTCTTGGACCTTGAATTATTTCCATACAGCCAAGATAGATTCAATAGAAGTGCAGTTTCTAAGATTGCATCTGCCTTTAGCAGCCAGGATTACAAGCCACCTGACATGTACTTTGGACCTTATGTTTTTGGGGGTGACCCATATGAGTACTTTTCTGGTAATGCGCCTGCAATAGAACTAAAATGAATTTGTAAATTTCTGTTTACATAGATTCATCTTTTTTCCCTTGCATATGTGTTGTATTATCTAGATGTAGCTGCACACTCAAGCAAATCAAGTACCGGCATCACAATAGGAGCGGCAGCTGGTGCTTCGGTGCTTTTTGTACTATTAGTGTTTGCTGGGATTTATGCTTATCGTCAGAGGAAGAGAGCACAAAGAGCAACCTTAGAAAGCAACCCTTTTGGTAGGATAATTATTTTTCAGTCTTTTCCTGTTGATCGTGTGGAATATCTGAGGTACTGATTCTCTTCCATGAAAACATAGCACACTGGGATCCTAAGAAGAGCAGTGGTAGCATTCCTCAGTTAAAAGGAGCAAGATGCTTCTCTTTTGAAGAGCTTAAGAAATACACGCACAATTTTTCAGATGCCAATGATATCGGATCAGGGGGTTTCGGAAAGGTTTATTTTGACTCTCATCCTCTCTGTATTGCTTATGTGCATATAAAAAACATGTATGCTAGAGGTATGGAGATATGACCTCTACGGATTATCCAATACATTGAAATATTTTGAAAAATCTGACTCTCTATGTGTTGGACACATACCCATGTTCAACACTTACACCTAACTTCGAGTAGCATAGGTTTTATTCATTGTTTCATTTGAGGCCTCTAGCCCTAGCCCCTTTTGCACGCTATGTGTTTGCATTGACCTTTTTACCTTAATGAAGGGAAGGTTTAAATAGATTAAAAAGTTGTAATGCAAATAATAAGAATAATCTGTTACTTCGTCTGTCTGTAACTATTTGTGTTACTGAGATAGATTTCTTTAGCATGGTCATTGTGAGTTATAAATTTTTTTTTTCCAAATAATTTCAATTCCTTCATTTACAGGTTTATAGAGGAACTCTCTCCACTGGGGAGCTCGTTGCCATCAAACGAGCTCAGCAAGGATCTATGCAGGGGGGGCTCGAATTCAAAACAGAGATTGAGCTTCTATCTAGAGTTCATCATAAAAATGTTGTTAGTCTATTGGGATTTTGTTTTGAGCGAGGTGAACAAATGCTAATATATGAGTATGTTCCTAATGGCTCACTTAGTGACAGTCTGTCAGGTACCTTCCTCTATTTCCTAACTTCATTACTCCAAATTGGGTTACATTATCAATAATTAAACGGCATTTTACATGTCCTTATCTCACCAAAAATATATATATATATATATATGTGTATATATATGTAATGCAGGGAAGTCGGGAATCAGATTGGACTGGAGCAGGAGACTTAAAATAGCCATTGGTGCAGCTAGAGGAGTGGCATATCTTCATGAGCTCGCGAATCCTCCCATAATTCACAGGGACATCAAGTCCGATAACATCTTATTAGATGAACTCTTAAATGCTAAAGTTGCTGATTTTGGCCTCTCCAAACTTATGAGTGACGGTGAGAAGAGTCATGTTAGTACTCAAGTGAAGGGTACAATGGTGGGTTCTTCCATACGCTGACGCATGCATACAATTAATACAGCCTTTTGAAATGGTAGAGCCTGAGCAACAAGCTCAGCTGTTAGCAATGTTGCTCTGGCACCAAGGTCAGCTGGTGCCGATGGTGCTCAGGCACAAGGGCCAGCTGGTCCCAATTGTGCTCTTTTTGTGTTGATAATTAGTTCATTTTCCTTTCACGGAAATTGCTGTTATTTTCTCCTTCTATGCCATCCTCCCTAAGAATTAGTTTGTTTCTGTTGTAGGGTTATTTGGATCCTGAATATTACATGTCCCAACAGTTAACTGAGAAGAGCGATGTTTATAGCTTTGGAGTGCTGATGCTGGAAATAGTAACTTCAAGAAGACCAATAGAGCGAGGGAAATATATAGTAAGGGAGGTGAGAATGTCGATGGACAAATCAAAAAGCCTTTATAATCTCCAACAGATTCTGGACCAATCTATTGGTTTCGGTACTTCATCCAAAGGCCTGGAAAGGTTTGTAGACCTGGCAATGAGGTGTGTTGAAGAATCAGGAGCTGACAGGCCTACAATGGGCGAAGTGGTGAAGGAGATTGAAGACATTATGCAGATGTCCGGCATGAACCCGAACGCCGAATCGGCAGCAAGCTCGGCAACATATGAGGATGCAGCTAAGGGAACTGATATCCATCCGTACAGCGACGAGTCTTTTACTTATAGTGGAGCCTTCCCTGTCTCTGTTACCAAGATACAGCCCCATTGAATGTGGGTTTCTTTTACCATGTTTTATCAGCAATGAACCTATCAACAGTGAGAGCTGCTTCTGTTTTGTCTTCTTTTTCCTTTTTTATCCTTCCCATGGAATGGGCGACAGACAAACTTAATTATGTGGGATCTTATTTTTGTTTGATGAATATTATGATGAAACTGTAATTAGAAGGATTCGTTTTATGTAAATAGGTAATTCAACTGTTGATTCGAAATATTTTGGCATCTCTATTATATATATTTTCTAATCTTTGCTTCATATTTAAAACTTAATTTTAACTTTTTTTACTATAAAACAATAGTTTACTATCTACACGTTTAAAAAATAATGTTTTAATTTAAAATATTAAAGTTATTGTTGGTGACTAAATATTTTGGTTTAAACAATTTTTAGGTCCTCTTAATTTTGAGCTTGAATAAATTAATCTCTCTTCAAATATTTTTTTATGAAATTTTGTATAATTCTTTTAGACACTTATAGAATCTAAATGTAAAATCAATTCTTATTCTAAATCTAAACTCTATTATTTTTAGTTACAGTAATATTACAAGTCTAAACATATATATATATATAATTGAAAAAAATATACATTGACTTTTCTTATAGTTTTTAAAATTAGATTGAGAGTACGTATTTAATTAGAAAAGGTAATAAAAAAAAGAAAATTTTGAAATTTTATTAAAAATTTTAATTTTTTTTAAAAAAATTATGAAAAAGCCTATAAAATTTTTATTTAAAAATGTATCCAATGATTAATCTAGGGCGCATACAAGGTAGTATTTGTTTAAAGACTCTTCACCATTTGATATTGAATACTCATACACTCCCTGCATATGTAGTGTTGAACCCAAAATTTCAAGGAATAATAATAATTCCTTAACCACTAAATTCTAAAAAAAAGTTGACATATGTCATTAATTAAATAATACTTTATGTATTTAGATAAAAAAATTGAATACTTTGGGTATATATATTTTAACCAATAAATACTTTAGGTATATATTTTAACCAAAAAAGATAAATTTGGATACTTATTTGACCAAAAAAATATTTTAGGTACTTAAATGAAAAAATGATACACTATAGGTACTTATTTGTTATACAAGCCTTAACCAAACCTAAAATTTAATGTTCATTTTATAACTTTTGAAAGTTAAATGACTAAAATATTATTTTATCATAAATTTTATCCTACTTTGTATTATTATATTTTGGTGTGTGAAATTCGTTGTAGACTCATCCTTTTTTTTATATATATGATCAAATAATGTAAGTAATCAGTCTAACTGTCACGTCAACCTTTTGTTATTGAGAAAAACAACATTTGATAATCGAATGACCTTATAAATAATTAACAATAACTACTAAATCACTACTTTCAAAATATCAACGGGGAAAAGAGAAATTTAATCATACTTTAATGATAATTTATAGAGTTTAACCTTCTAAATTGATAAAGAATGGAAAGATATTTAAAGCAAAATATTTAATTCAACTTATTGACCTAGAGAGTTTAGAAGATAAGGTGTTGATCGAGTTCTTAATTTCGCCAGCTTCCCATTAACCTGGCATTGGTCTTTAGTCACTTTCTAATTTCTATATGTTGTTTTCGAACAGCTGCCAACACTCCATGTGCATCGTCTTCCCTAACCCTTGCTTCTTGTTCCTGTCTTGCCCACTAAAGAATCTTCTTTTATCTATATTTAGAGAGAGAGAGACAATCATGGACCTTCTTCTGCCACTTCATGTGCTTCTATCACCTCTCCCCCACTCCCCATTATTCTACTCTCTTCCCTTCCCCTCGTAATCATTGCCCTTTTTACAAAAGAAGCATTGGTGGGATTTGAATTACACTAAACAATTGTGGATGCCAACATTCAAATTTCAACAGATATCAAAAGAAAATCCACACACCGATTACTTTGCGTGTGTATTTATGACCTCCACCTCCTAATTTGATTCTTTTTTCAAAGTCGAAAAAGCAATTAATCAAAACTTTGGAACCTTGCAAATGAAAACCAGTCCTGCAGCTTGCGGCCACCAGTCTTGGTAAATTCTCACAGATGTTTTTCTTTCTGTTTTGAAACCATAATTGAAGCAACGTGTCTCGAATACTAATATTATCCTGTGTTTTTGGTTTCTGAAAGGTCCATCAGCGACGACTCGCTAAGAAGATACGTCCAATATGCAAGCGAAAGCTGTATACAGGAGCTGTTAATGTCGGCTTCGGTCTCGACTTCATCAGTTTCGGAGACGAACAAGTTGGGGATTGGCGGTGACGGGTGGAAGATCCTGACCTTTGAAAATGGAGTAGAGATATCAAAGCGAAGGTCTGGATCTCTTCACATATTCCGTAGCCGGTGGGTGCTCAGATCTGTCTCGCCACAGCAGTTCATCACTGTCGCCAACGCCATAGATGCTGCCAAGGTGATGGTTCATTTGTGTTTCTACTTTAGCCTTGTTGAATGTTGATCGTTCGATTGTTGTTTAGACTAGACAGTTGTCTTTGTTGGGCGGAAAAGAACTTTTTTGTCTGCAAATGCAATCACTGTCCTTTGTTTTGTTCAGAATATATTCTCTAATATATGTGGTTGATTTTCCTTGCAAGAAGATTGACACTAAACTGGAAAGGGACTCCCACTTTACTATCTAAGAATGTTTCCTATATTTTTGCTATTCATTACTTCAGATACCACAACAACGGATTTGTTTTTCTTAAGCTTTAGTGATTGGAGGGCTAAGTCATTCAAACTAACTTTCCCCCCTTTATGCTTGATAATTAAACCATTTAACCACATATTATAGTTTTTTTTTCAATGACTTTGTTTAATCTAATGAGGGTGAACCACTGTAAACCACCATCTACGTATATTGTTGATTCAAACTCAACAAGTTTTTGTTTTTGTTATTGTGAACAGCAATGGGACAGTGAGCTTGTAGAAGCTAGATATATTAAAGATCTTGAAGATAACTTGAGCATAATTCGTCTTAGGTTTGGCGACAACTCAAAACCTCTCTTTAGAAACCGAGAATTCATAGTGTATGAACGACGTGAAACCATGGAAGATGGCACTTTGGTATACTTTAAGTTTTATTCTACCTATAAATTTTATTTGATTAATGCAAAACTGAGAGTAATTTACAGATTAATTAAGTTTGCAGGTTGTAGCAGTGGCCTCACTGCCCAAGGAAATTGCTGCTGGTTTGCTTCCACAGCAACATAATGCAATTAGAGGCTTATTGCTGCAATCAGGATGGGTCGTGGAAAAGCTTGAAGATATTAACTCATGTACTGTTACGTATGTTGTTCAGGTAATATAAACATACACACATATATATATATATATAGTTGTAGCATTATTATGTGACAAAACTAGGAAAATAATACAGGTGGGAATTTTTTTTGAAAAATGGGGTGATTGAGAATTATTTTGGGATCTAGGCCGTTTGTTACGGTGCACGTGAAACTCGTCACGGATCGTCATATGTGCGTTACCATTTCATACAATTTTGTTCCATATCATATGACGGGTTATAATTTTTAATATATTTTATGAAACTTGTCAAGTCGGCGTGACGAGTTCCATAAACACCGTAACAAATGGCCTAGATCTCAAAATAAATTTGAAGATGTCTTATTTTGCTAATTAATTATTCCGCTTGTATTATTGGCCTAATTTTACCTTATTTGGTAAATCATGTGAGTTGAATTTTGGATAAATTAAAAAACTAAACTTGCTCTAAATGCTTATTTATGATGTTTTTTATTTGAATGTGCAGCTCGATCCTGCAGGATGGCTTCCCAAGTGGTTTGTGAATAGGCTTAACACCAAGCTAGTCATGATCATTGAAAACCTCAGGAAACTGGTTCAAACCACTGAACCACATTCTGGTTGATAGTACATACAGACTTTTACTATTATCATATACGATATCCATTATATGTATATATTATGTTCAACTTTCTGCTCTATTATTATCTCTCAATTTTACTTTCCAATGAGACCAAACTTTCATGATATTCTTTTAAGTTTGAAAGGATTTCGATAAATTGAAACTCAAGTGAGCTTCAGTGAGAGCTCCATCGCCATCACCTCGGGCGGACCCAGGATAAAAATTCAGTACAAAAAAATTTTTATAAATTTTTTTAGGGGTTGCACAATATTAAAGGTGATACTTGTATTAATTAGAAAAAATTTTAAAAAAAATTAACACTAAGTAGACAATTTTATTGCACAAATTTTTTTCCTATAAGAATTTAACTGAAATATGGGAATTCTACTTAAAAATCACAAAAAATATATATAAAAATACTAAAATAATATCATTTGATAAATATTCCTCACAATTTGAGGGGTTACCCGGGCTACCCCTGATAACCCCTGAGTCCGCCCCTGACCTCCAGTTCCGCCCGGTGCCAAGTGACAGTCACCATTGAGTGCCAAATCACCGTTGCTTAAAACAGAGCAATTAGGCGTAGCAATGTTAGTAGTAGAAGAAGGGGTTGCAGGATTAGAGGTAGGAGTGTATTCGGTTCGGTTCGGTTTGATTTTTTATCAAAAATTGAATCGAACCGAAATAAACGGATTTTCAATATTTAAATCGAAACCAAATAGTTAAAAAATCGAAAAAATCGAAACCGGTTTTTTCGGTTCGGTTCGGTTTTTTTAACGGTTCGGGTTTTTTCGGTTCAGTTTGGTTTATCGGTTTTTCATTTAAAAAATCACTTGAAACTATAATTTTTTTTACAAAAATTGTCTATTCGGTTCAATATGGAACAAATGGGTTCCATATGGAAAACCCGAACCGAATCAAAAAAATAAAACCTTTAAACCGAACCGAAAACCGAACCGTTTAAAACCAAACCAAACCGAATCGAACCGTTTTACTCGATTCATGTCGATTTTTCGATTTTTTCGGTTTCGTTGCTCAGCCCTAATTGGAGGACCACGAGGCACAATTGCAGCATTAATGATTAATAAAACGTGAAAAATTTAAAAATCAACATTATTAGGGCAAACTATCTATTTTTTCACCCACTTATTACTTAGTTTCTGTTTTGGCCACTTAACTATTGTTGTTTTCAAAATCATACCTAATGCTACGTTTTGGACTTTTGGTCATTCACCGTTAAAAAATTAGCGGTGATGTTGACGTGTCATCATAAGTTAATGCCACATCAATATTTAATGATTAAAAAATTATTATGTCAGCATCACTATTAATTTTTTTAACGGCGGGTGACCAAAATATATTGTTAGATATGATTTAAAAAAAAATTTATGACAGAAATAGAAACTAAGTAATAAGTGAGTGATTAAATATATAATTTACCCAAATTATTATTATGTGAAATGAAAATAGACATTTATAATTTTATTAACTATTTAATGTTACAGATAAAAAAGAATATTTTTTTATAATATTAATAGTTAAATTAAAAATGTTTTAATTCCATGAGCAAAGTAAAAGTATGTTAATAATTAGTTTATTAACAATTTTGTTGGTCAAATAATTCATGCATTTTTTTTAAAATAAATAAGAATGTTTGAACAAACTAAGGTTGGCCTTAGTGGAAGAGATTATGGTCGCTTAAGCAAGTGGTCTCTAGTTTGAGCCCTTGTGGATGCATCAAACTTTCTTGAGAGAGGTCTCCATCTTTAGTGTCAGACAAAGATTTTTTTAATAAATATTTTATGTAATTCGTCATTTTCTTATAACAAATTTTAGGTGTAATAAAATAAATAATATATATCTCTAAATATTTTTGTAACATCTATATTGCTCAAATTTTATTGACCGACTAATTATATAATTTATTTTAAAATAATAATTTCTTCACTTTAATAGTGGAGATTAAGCTAGATCCATGATCCATCCATCGCGTCAAAATCCAAGGTAAATCAAAACTATAATTTAAAAACAAACGAGGGCAATAGTTAACTTAAAACCCCCCAGCACCCTTCAACTTTTGGTCTAAAATTGGCTTTTTAGAGTTTCCATTATCCGTCTCCTCCTCTCTTTCACAAACTGCATATTTATATAATTAAAATTTTAAGTAAATCCCCATCCCACCAAACCCAACAATGAAAACCCTAATTCATCTTTTCCTTTATTTCCTGATTTGTTACTCTGAAAATTCCATGTAAATGCTTTGTCCACATACTATTTTCATATTTAATATTTCCATTTGCAATATATATATATATATAGCGATTAAGGATTCTGGGTAAGTGGGGGGGAATTTTAAGGGGTGTTTGAGAAAAAACAAATGGAAGGGATACCACACCCTATACCGAGAACGGTAGATGAGGTATTCAACGACTTTAAAGGCAGACGCACTGGCTTGATTAAGGCTCTCACCACTGGTTCGTTCCCCCTTCTTTCTTTCGTTGTTGGATTTTTCTTTTTTCCTTTCAGAATTACCGTTGGATTTAATTAACGAGTTTTTTTTTGTTATATTTGGGTTTTTATGGCAGATGTTGGCAAGTTCTACCAACAGTGTGATCCTGGTTGGTTACTTTGCTGATTTTTGTATATTTTCTTTCTGAGGGTTGAAGCTGCACCGTTGACTGCGTATCTGTTTGTTTGTTTTTTTCCTCAAGTTCGCTTTCTTTCATTTGGGTTACTTTTCTATATCTGTACGAAATGGTTTATTCGTTTTTCTGGTCAAAGTTCTGTACATATTGTTATGTTCTGAATGTCGTAGCAGCTGACTATTTTGTAAAGCTAATGAAAATCGCATTGTCAAATGTATTTCAGTGAAAGCAGTTAAATATTGTCTTCTTACACGTTGGCTGCTAGATCAGATAAATTTTGTAATGTCTGGCGATTGAATTCTTAATTTTCAATTTGCAGTTTTATCTTTATTTTTTTATTTGATTTCCTTGTCTACACTTATCAATCCCCAAATGGTTCATGGTTGTTTCTGTCAACATGTCTTATGTGGTTCACACATTAAATGGCTCCAAATTCAATTCACATCAATTGTGAAAAGCCTTGTATTCGCTGCTCACCTTTCTGGTTTTGGTCCTTTAGATCATTTATCATATCATCCCCATTTTCCTTTTTGATGATATGTAATCTTGGCTTATTTGCTACAGTATCCTTGCTTTGCCTGCAAGGTGGATAGAATTTGCAAAAAGTTACATGAATGAACTTTTTTTTTTTTTGCAAGTATACTGTTAGCATCAGGTTTTATTTAATCTATTAATGAACCTGCATTTCTTTTTGGATAAAGTGGCTGTTTTCTAATTAACCTTTTCAGTCAAGTGTTTATCTCAGCTCCTTGAAACTTATATCGGATATGAAAGCTACCCAGAAGCATGTTTCAAACGGTTGCCTAACTTGTTTTCCTTATAGCCTTTGCCCTTTCATGATATTGACATGCTTTTGGCTAATTGTTGCACTAAGTAACCTGCCACAAGTTAGTGTCTGAAATAGCTGGATTTTTTAAATTTCTTTCTTTGGAAGTGGAACTTCATTTCTTATTGTTGCTGAGATTTTGTTCTATTTCCCGTGGATGTTGGGATTTATAGTCTGGTGACACATGATTACTTCTGCTGTTGGTTTACACTTTACACGCCACTTTTGTTTTGAGGATTTCTTGCATAAAACTCCAAAGTGTAGGCCCATTAACAGTAATAAGAAAATTTGCTTATATTTTATACGTTAACTGGAAATTCTTGAATCTACAATAAATCCTTCTAAATGACTTAGAAGTTGTTAATGTGCTGTATGTTTGTCGCAATTCATTCCAGCAAAACTTATGTCTTTCAAAATTTTGAATTTACATTTGCAGAGAAGGAGAACTTATGTTTGTATGGACTACCAAATGAAACATGGGAAGTTAACATGCCTGTTGAGGAGGTGCCTCCTGAGCTTCCAGAACCTGCACTGGGCATAAACTTTGCTAGAGATGGAATGCAGGAGGAGGACTGGCTATCATTGGTTGCAGTCCACAGTGATTCATGGTTGCTTTCTGTTGCTTTCTATTTTGGCGCACGGTTCGGGTTTGACAAGCATGAGCGGTATGTTTGCTTTTTCTGTGTCATTTGTGACACGTTTGAGTCTCATATAGCACAGCCTAGTTGCTGCTGTATCTTGGTTGATTTTATTGCTAACTGCATAATTCGCTTTGCATCTTGCAATATAGAGAAATAGTACCCTTGTTCTCTTCGAATGAGTTCATTTTTAAATTATAAAAAGTTACCAATCTGATGCATAGCTCAAATGAATCAATATTACATGTGAGAAATTGTGGATAGTTTTTTTTTTTCCAATCATTTCTATTTTTAATGCTGCAAACCTTTTGTTTTAAATTTGTAAGATGAATTTGGGACTATTCTGTTACTTTCATTGGTATTTTTTCTGACATGACATACTTGTTTATGTCTTGCATTCAAACAAGGAAGTGAATGTCCTTTTTCACTTTGTATGCCTTGCCAAGTTTGAGAGAACAATTTAAGCTGAGTCTGGATGCTAAAATGCTAATTGAGATGTTTGACTTTTATCATGTAATACTAGCTAAAGTCTTGCATGCCATACAATGAAACATTTTCCTAAATGCTTTGGCACTCTTGTTAAATATAAGATTGTCATATACATCTGTCTAAGCAACAGAAATGGTTAAAAAACAGATTGGTTAGTTCAATTGGTTGAACTGGTAGGCTGGACAGTTCGATCTTCGGTCAGATATTTTATTCTTTGGCTTCCAATATGATGGGCACATGTTTTCTGGTCTACACCATTAGGAATGTTTCCATTTCACCCCCAAGGTGCGATGTGCTGCTCAGCCATAACTTGATGTCTGCTAGTGGGCATGTGAATATACATTGTTTCATATTTTTTAGTACGGGACTTGCTTTAGGAGGGAATATTTGACGCATTTGGGAATTTGGGATCGTCTCAAAGATTTGAAGTTTGAAATTTTGGAAAGAAGCAAAATTTTGCCCTTACTTCCATTGTTGCAGTTGCGTGATATATGAACAAAAACTAAAACAGCAAGAGGCAGTTGTGAGAGAAAAGCAAAAGCCCTGTTTGCTGGTAATATGTAGAAAAATACCAATTTGCCTGCCATTTCTTAGTTTCAGCCCTATAATTGTTGTCCATCTCATTTAGTTATTTAGCAATCTTCGATCATTGAACAAAGGGATCCAGTTCTCTCAACTTCATTTTAGTGAATACTATATTGCTCCAACTCTTCCTGTGTTCAACACAAATTTGAACAGGAATACGAGGATATGACACTCCAAGGATCCTCCAAATATATGGAAAAACATAGGAAAATTTGAACATACTTGCTTTTGAGGCACATACCAATTTCTGACACTTACATCTGAGTACGAGTAAATAGATTGAGTAAAAGAAAACAGTAAAAACCTTCTTTTTCTGAACACCTGGATTTGGTCACACTTGCAACACATTGCTGCTCTCCTCTAAATAAGGGAATTGAGCCGAGTCTGAGGGGGGTTGGGGATGGGAGAGTGTACTTCATGACAGGTTTTAACTATCACTAAGGTTATTCTAATTCTTTTTTTTAATTGGCAGGAAAAGACTCTATCTGATGATTAACGATCTTCCAACCATATTCGAAGTTGTGACAGGAAACGTTAAACCATCAAAGGACCAATCTGCTAATCACAACAGCAGTGGCAAAAGCAAATCAAGTGCTAAGGTTAAACGTAAATTCTTGGGTTTTCCTTTTTATATGCAGTGATCTCAATTAATGTCACATTGATATCCTTGGTGTTTGCAGTCTCGTCAATCTGAACCCCAGAGCAAGATGGTAAAGGTGGCTCCACCATCCAAGGATGAGAGTGGGGAAGAAGACGTGGAAGATGAACAGGGTGCCACTTGTGGGGCTTGTGGGGATAGCTATGGAACTGATGAATTCTGGATTTGCTGTGATATTTGCGAGAGATGGTTTCATGGCAAATGTGTGAAGATTACACCTGCAAAGGCCGAGAATATCAAGCAGTATAAGTGTCCAAGTTGCAATAGCAAGAGGGCTAGAGTTTGAAAGTAGTAGGTTCAGAAATTTGACTTTAAACCAATTTGAAACGAAAGAGACAAGGTTGGTTTTATAGCCTTTTTCTTTACGGTTTAGAAGTAAAACAGAGGTTGCACGCACCTTTTTAGTTGATGAATGAATTTCATTGACTGCAGATTGGATTTTTATGTTCTGCAACTCTTTGCTCCCGCTTTGTTTAATTTTTATTGGCCATTGTGTTCTAAACTGATGCTGTCAACGAGAATCTACTTTATGGCCTGAAAAGGGAGAGCTCTTTCATTCTCGTCACATGAGAAAGACATAAGAAGCATAAAGTTCCCCCACCCCGTCTATCAAAGACATCTACGCCCATGCTCTTTAATCTCCTCCAACCTACAACCATCCACCCATACGGTCCTCCGTATGGTCGTTCATTGCCGCAAAAAACGGTCATGAACAACCTCCTACTTTTGTCATCAAAACAAAATGGATTGATTGAAATAATTTTTCCATGTCTAATTTACAAATTCTAATATAGCTTGCTGCTGGAGCTTATATGTAATTGGAGATATTTGTTGAAAGTGCCGTATTACAGTAGAATGTTAACAAATCAATAATATTTGGTTACACGAGCCGTATTACATTAAGCCGGTTGCCGAAAGGCACACTACACCGCAGGCTGTACGACTATGGATTTGGTTCCTCTTTTCCTCCTACCCGATACCAGATTAGATGAGTAGACAAATGTTTGAATTGGAGTGCGTTGGACTTCCACAATGTCTTGTATGGGCTGATATAATTGAACACCAATAATATTTTGGTTCACATGATTAAGAGGCCTGTCAGCTACAAGAATCCCATCCTTAGCCGATTCGTCATATCAAGTAGCACGAACCTTTCGGCTACAAAACTATCTGAATTACCCATTATTTTTCTAATTAATCAGTTTTATAATACTATTTCTAATCAATCTTCTTCTCCATCTCCTACCCAACAGGCCCCTCCTATAACTAAATAGTTCTAAATTTATGCTTAGGTTAGGAAGTTGTGCATAGTATGGATATGTCCCCTCCCCACTTCGTCGGCGCTATAAACTTCCATGAGCTACGGGCCAGGAATACTTCTTGCAAAGCAATATCTATATTTTTAAATATAATAATATGCAAGTAAGATTGGGATGTTTGGAATGAAAGATTCTTTATAAAGACTGCCCATGACATGGATGGCCTTACTCCAATTCCCAGGTTTGACTCTCCCTCCTTCCCTTCTCTGTTTTCGGTTCGAGTGGCCCATTATTTTATTACCCCATGTCTATAAACAAATAAAATAATAATAAAAATATTATTGACCCATGTCTCTTTTATCAATGCCTATATCCAAATTTAATTTGGATGTTACTGATCAATCGACTTGATGATAAATAAATTATTGTTATTTCTTGAGGTATTAAGTTAAAGTATTATAAATACTAGATATGTGAGCGTTCAACCTCAAATGATTGAAGTTATTTTTGAACCAATAATATTTTGTACTTGCTCCATATTAATAAAAAAAAACTTTAATTTGGATGATACCAACCAACCATTCAACTAATAATTATTATTATTAATATTGACATAATAATCGTAAAAACCTCGGTTTCTATGAAAATGTTAAAGAATAAACTTATAGCTCTATGGGGCCATCATGAACCATGCCATTAGCATATGATAGTTTGTTCCCACATGAACAAGAAAGTTTTTTTAAACAGTCATCACCGTCCACACTAAAAAAATAATGCAGTTTTAGGCTACATATTTTATGAAGAATGTAATATCAATGGAGAGTTTTTAATCCCTAGCTCCTGTCATTCGAAATGTCAATCTTACCCTTATATATGAAATGATTGATGGTTATTGTGAGGGCAAAGGGGAAATTTAGTTTTGTTTTTATCTTTGAACACTTGAACTCAAAGTTAGTGGTGTGGCCCAAATAAGAGAAGAATAATGGTATAATAGAAGGAAAATGAAAACAAAATGTAGAGAGGGAGATATTTGTCTGCACATAGTTTGGGTGATGGTACAGTTGGCTTTGATTTGATGGTTTGGTCCCCAAGTGCCCTCGTCTCACTGGATGCTCAAAAGATATAGGCTAACGTGCGCGTTGGGTTTCCTTCAAACTGGAATCTCTTGTCCAGACGTACCGATTCTCTTAATCGTGGGTGGGTCGGTAGGACCCAATTCCCCATATTCCAGTTTCTCCTTTTTCACTATGTTAGAAATCAACGTTGGAATAATAGAACCGGATTAACCCAAATTAAATAATAGATGGTGGAATGTTTTGAATTACTGATGGAAGTTAACTTGGGAATGTGTCACGTCTTGTCCGGTCTGCATATCTTCGTAAGTTTGGCTGCACAATCAAATTTGCCAATAAAATTCCCCATATTCCAGTTTCTCCTTTTTCACTATGTTAGAAATCAACGTTGGAATAATAGAACCGGATTAACCCAAATTAAATAATAGATGGTGGAATGTTTTGAATTACTGATGGAAGTTAACTTGGGAATGTGTCACGTCTTGTCCGGTCTGCATATCTTCGTAAGTTTGGCTGCACAATCAAATTTGCCAATAAATAGAATATCTCAACAAATATGAAAAGACCGGTTTGGAGAATTAGATGTTACTTTGATGTAGTAAGGAGAGTGAGATTCAAACCTTATTGAGGACAAATAGGTGCATGAGTTATGGACCATTAGATACCGTGTTATCAAATAATAATGGAGTCTCCGAAATTAATTACTTGTTTACCAATAACAACAGCTGTGATTTTTTAACTGATTAATTACCCCCAAGTAAAAGTTATTGTAAATGGAAAAAATTAGAGTAGAGTATTATTAAAATAACTTATATTTAAATGTACAAATTCTTATTTTATTAACGGAGCGTCAAAGTTGTTTGTTTTTAAGAAAAAGAGAGGCTGCGAGAGAATAATGATGGGCTGTTAGGGATATGGTTTTTAGAACCGGATCGGTTAGTGAAACGGTCATATTATCGGTTTATTGGTTCAATCGGTCGAATCGGTTTGATCAGTCAGAAGAACAGGACGACGTCATAATTATTTAAAAAAATTAAATAAAAATACCAAAAATATTTAATAAAAAATAATTTTTTATATCACAATTCATATTCAAAGCAAGTCATAACATATATAAGTTAAAAATCATAAAATTAAGTGAAACAAAATGATTCAAATTAACTACAACATAATATTTAATGTAAAACATATTAAATAATAAATATAATTATATAACTATAATTAAAAAATAAATTTGGGGCTAAAAAAATCATAACAAAATGATATTGTTTGGTTTAATTTTTTTTTAAAAACAATCTCACATGGCTAAGAAACATAGAAGATCATCCCAACTAACTTCTATAAATAATAGAGGTAATTTGATATTCAAAATCATGGAGCCTTTTGGTAAGCATTGAGTGAATTATTTTTTCACTTCAATCAAGCTCGAATTTTAGGCTTCAATCGAGCTTCTAATTTTTTTTTTTGAGTTCAAGCCTTTTCGAGTTCAAGTTTCAATATTATATTTCGAGTTCGAGTTAAACTTCATAATTTTTAGTTCGTGAGTTTGAATCGAGTTGAGCTTACTTTTAAATTTTTCAAGTTCGAGTCGAGCTCAGCAATACTCGAGTTCGACTTGACTCGTTTAACAAACGACGTCGTTTGATTTAATTTAAAAAAAAAACAAAATTAGCGGGCTTTCCCGGTTTTCAGCCGATCCGATTTGAACGGTTCAAACGGTTCCGACCGGTTCACTAATAACGGTTCAATTGATCTAGATTGAACTAGACTAGACAACGATTCTCGATTGAACCGGTATGTCCATTTTTCAAAACAATGGTTAGGGACATGAGAAAATCCCTTGAAAGACTACAAAATCCAATTGTTCCCTTAAGCTTGTACTTTGCAGGCCCTTTTTTATTTTAAAATTTTACTAAAAAATGTTTAATTATAATATTATTTTAAGAGTCGATATTATATCTCCTCTCAATCGAGTACAATAAGCACATATATATATAATGAGTTTGAGCTGGACACCACTTGGCCCTGGAACTCTTATTTTAGTCTGACACCATTAACGGGTTCTTAAGATATAATTTTCTGGTTTATTTTTAAGAAGAAGAAATGGAAAGCTATGGAGCAGAGCAAAATGAACAAGCCTCGAGAATAAAAGGTAGGCACCGGCACCGGCACCGGCATGGTGAGCTTTCTTTGCTTTGGCTAGATTTTCACATGGAACCTTCTTGTCCCTTTCTCTTGGAATTTCCAGATTCTTGACCTATTTTCCCAGCCTTTTCACCGTATGTATGTAAGAATACCCCCATCCCTTTGTCGGCACTAAGAGTCGTGTAATAATTTAGACAACAACACAAAAAGCATATAAAGAAAGTCTCCAATATTTGATATACAAATTAAGGTGTAATGATTGTGAAATTTGTTTGATTCTTTTTTGGTCATAAAATTGGATTCATTGCCAGAAAACAATTTACAAAATGAGATTCGGGTTCCATTCATGGCTCATATCAACAAGGAAAACATTGAAGGATCCAGTTCAGAAAATCTCGGACTCCATGTAGTGCCTCTTTTCACCGGAAACCAGATTTTATGAAAAGTTTCAATAACTAGTGACAATCTTCCGGTGTCATCGGCGGTGACTTTGGTAAAATTCCGGATTAAAACAATTGGTATGAGTATTCTAAATAATGATGTCCCATCAGAGAGATAGAGGGTGCTTTGATCTGGAGCCATCGGATCTGGATACAAATTTAGATTTGCAGTTGATAGGATCTAGTATAATGTGATAATGAATTCCGCTGCAGTAATTGATTATTATAAAAGTTATTAAACTCGATATATTTTTAAGGATACATTACATGTTTAGTATCTAAACTATTACTTCTACTTCATTTTGGTACTAAAATTTTATTTTGTTTCAAAAGTATACCTAATGTTTAGTTTAGATTTTATTTTAGTAACCGTCGTTAAAAACTTAACGATGATAGTGATGTGTCACCATAAGATAATGTCATGTCATCTTTGAAAAAAATAAAAAAAAATATCATGTCAGTTGTCTTATTATTTTTACCTTATTTTTAAAATATACTAATAATTATGATAATTAAATAATAAATTT